GCACAAAACAACACCACAATAAAACCCCAACTAGAGTCCAGGTTCTTATATTCTAGTCGGGTGCAGTATAGGGCAAGCATTTAGATATCAACCCGGGCCGGTCCGTCTACCCCTACTTCAGTTTTGAAATCATTATCTAGCAACAAAGCTTTGGTTTAAAGTTTTGCTAATTGAAATGAAAGAAAGCAAATGTAAATGGTTTTGATAACTCTTTGGTGGATAGATCACTCGGGTGTCGCTTCCCCCTAACTACTACCATGCTATGTGGATTGGAACGATTACTTTGGGCACAATAATCGCGAACCGCAGGGGGATGCATATGTGTTCGGAGACCACAATCTCAATTGCTAAATCAAGGTAAGCATGAAAGGCCATGTCACTCGACCCTCTCGGTTTAGAAAATCGGTATTTGACTTACTCCCTCACTCAACTCTAAAAGAGGGAGAAAGAGGCTAGTTTTCTTTCACCTGGTTCATCCCAGTGCGAAGAAAGAGGGAACAACAGGTTAGCAAAAACAGAGAGAGAGAGATGACGAAGATGGGGAACTGCTCATTCAAACAATGAATCGATTCCGTCAATCCCACCTCCAAGGAATCGATTGCAGAGGGTAGAATATGCAAACAATGACCACAAAAGAGAAGAAAAGATTATATCGAAAGCTGAAGACAAAGCGAGAAATCATAGCATAAAAGAGAGAGAAAGATGCCATTTTTTCTTTCACCTGGTTAATCCCGGTGCGAAGAAACACAAAGAGAGAAAGCTGATGAGAAAGTCGACTATAGATCAGGGACCGAGATGAAGCAGAGGGAAAAAATTTCAGAGAATTGGAGAGAGGCTCAAGGTCTGCTTTGTTGATAGTGGATAATAGAGAGACGAAGGAGGAAGGGGAAAATGCAGGAATTAAGGAAAGCAGAAAAAATGGTTTTTCCTTTCTCTGTTTCTTTTCGTCCGGTCACTGCCAAACCATCATCTCTCCTTCCTCTGCCTTGATTGGACAAAACAGGGCACTACTTTCTTCTCCTTCCACTCAGTGTGGATGAACAGCTCATTGCCTCACCCCGCTCACCTCAAAGCCTCTCTGCGACAGATACATCCCATCAGCATCCCAAAAGCGCTTTATTTCCCTGAGAGAGAGAAAGATCAGAGAGATAGATAATGGAGAGAGAAGATAAAAACACTGGGGGAAAAAAATCGCTGGCCCAACCACAACACACTGAAAAACCTCACCGGGTCCACGCACAGGCAAGCAACCAATAAGGGGAGAGTGTATAGTAAATCTCGGTCCAAATGAATAGTAATCTCAGACTGTGTGCACAATAGGGAACAAGGGATGGTGTCTTTGGAAATAAAGATCTTTAATTTACCCTAGAATCTCAACAAAACAATCGTATTTAATCTTCCAAACGACCCCAGTTGTTGCTCGGGTTGGATCCGGTCCTTAAGCCTCACTGTTTAAGGTTATTCTTAAACCGTTTTTATTGGCTGATACTAGATTAGGTAGTTAATAGGGGTTAGTAGTAAATAGTTAGTTGGAATAAATAAGATATTATGAAAATATAATTAATATTACTCATTAATGATTCTCTTCCTCTCTCCCCCTTGATATTCTCCATATCCCTCTCTCTCCACTATAATTAAAAGGAAATTCGAAATTAATTTAATTAAATATTATTATTTAATATTTAACAAATTCGAGCTTAATATTTTTTATTTTTTAAATGAAAATTAAAAATTAAAAATATATGCTCTCTCACACTTCGTGGCAACTTGCAATACAGTATTAACATTTTGCAATGACATTATCAACATTTATGAAATGAATCGTTATTAACGACTTCAATATACTTATCAATTCCTTACAATTACATTATTAACAATTTTGAATCAATTGTTACTGTTTTATAGTTTCGTCATCAACGCCTATGAATGAATAATTGAAGTTATGTAACATGGTCATTAACAGTTTGAATAACAATATCATTGATTTACAACATTTTTAGTACTAATGATTCACATTTTCACATCATGTTTATAAATTATAACTATCTAGTCATGCCTCTTCCAATGATTTCTAATGACATTATTAACGTTTTATGATCAATTAATATTGTTTTACATTATCATTCTCAATGATCATAAAGCATAATACTGATTTTCAACATCTTGGGTACTTGTGACATAGTGCACCTGTGTGATTCAGTCAAACAAACATTGTCCAAAAAAATATTAGCTCAAGCAAACCAACATTCACGCCTCAACACCAAATTTTTAATAACAATCCAATAAATCATTGATAATGAAAAGTATTTCATTGAAAATAAACACAACACATCAATGTAAAAATGTCAGACTTCAACATTATAAATGACATCAAAATTTTAATAAAGATATTAAAAACCATTAACATCGAATGATCAAGTCACTGATAAGGAAATAGATTTTTGTAACAAAAAATATTAATAATATTCAGATGCAATGTTTAATGTCAAATAGCACTAAAAACGCATTAATAAGTAACATGTGTTTAATGGATAATGCATCCAAAAACTTTGATAATGATAGCAACTAATGATTTTTAAGTACCTTATTAGATATTATTAATATCTTATTTTTCAAACATTGATAATGCTTATACACACCTATTAATAATGACACTAACTACGTTACTAACTTAGACTGAAAGATTAATAACCATAGTTATATCATTAAACGTAAATTCACTTTTGCTAATGTCATAAACAAACGAATACCTAACAAGTATGCTTCTTGATAATGACATTTGACAAAGTTTCAAACATAAACGAAAACATATTAATAATTCAAATCACTAAACATAAGCAATCTTAAAAATGAAATAAAGTTTTGCTAATGGTTGTATTGTGCTTGAAAAAAAAATATTGATAATAGCACTTCAAATGATTATAAATCATTGCGAACCAAATTGATAATACGATGTAATAGTAAATAAACTTCAAGTACCAACAAATTGAAAACACAATTTCACTTTTGCTAATGTTACAAACAAAACATAACATAAAAAGTTAATAATGTCATATAAAATTATTAAAAAAATGTCGAACAACATTAATAATAACACAAATGAATACCTAACAACGAAAAATCCCAAACCCATGCAACGAAAAGCCCTAATGATGATTCAATTTATAAATATTGATAATGTCATTACAAAATGTTAGGACTTTGCTACGGTGACATGCATGTCACGGTGACATGCACTTTTCGGCCGACCTCATATAGGATCAGGTCGACCTAATCTGTTGTTTCAGTGTAAAAACAGTTTCATGGTGCCTACTTTGGAAATTCATGTCTTACAATTGGCTAGATGGAAAATGGAGATTAAAGGCTTGTTTTGAAGCTGAAGTGTCCCTCTACACATTAATGTACTTGGGAGCTCAATAGAAAGTTCATAAGACCATTTTTGAACCTGACCAAAAGGCTATGCAAAAAATGGGAAACTGCCTGAAAATGGCTAAGTCTGGCAACATGTTTGTCAAGCCTGCTTTGGAGCTCAATTTGAGAAGCATGGATGCGAGTCAAGTCCAGGGGCCTCTACCATGTTAAATTAAGTATTTTTTTTATACAAAGGCAAGGCATTGGATGAAAGATTGAATATCTTTAAGACTTCAAACAAAAGGCTCGAAGTTGCTAAGAAGGCTGTTTTTCTGGCAGCTTGCTTGTGCTCGAAGTCTGCCAGAAAAACAGCCTTCGTAGCAACTTCGACCCTTTTGTTTGAAGCCTTACAGATATCCAATCTTTCATCCAATGCCTTGAATTTGTTTAAAAACATACCTAATTTAACGTGGTAGAGGCTCCTGGACTCGACTCGCATTCATGCTTCTCGAATTGAGCTCCAAAATAGACTTCACAAACACGTTTCCAGACTTAGCCATTTACAGGCAGTTTCCCAGTTTTGGCATAGCCTTTTGATGAGGTTCAAAAATGATCTTCTGGACTTCCTATCGAGCTCTCAATCACTTCAACATGTAGAGGGACACTTCAGCTTCAAAACAAGTCATTAGTCTTCAATTTCCATCTAGCCAATTGTATGATATGAATATCCAAAGTAGGCGCCATGAACTGTTTTTACACTGAAACAACAGATTAGGTCGACCTGATCCTATATGAGGTCGACCGAATCCTAAATGAGGTCGACTAGATCCTATATGAGGTCGACCGAATTCTAAATGAGGTCGACCTAATCCTAACTGAGGTCGACCGGAAAGAGCAAGTCACCGTGACATGCATGTCACTGTAGGCACACCCAAAATGTTAATACTTAATACTAATTGGAAGTTGCCAAGATGTGAGAGGCATATATTTTAATTTTCAAATTTCCATTTTAGAAAAAGAAAACTATTAAATTCCGATTTTATTAAATATTAAATAAAATTAATTTCATATTTCTTTTTATTATAATGTAGAGAGAGGATTATGGAGAAAATCATGGGAGGAGAGAGAAAGAGAATCATTAATTATATTTGCATAACCCCATTTACCCTTAACTACCTATTAACTACTAACCATTTTTAACTATTTAATCCACTATCAACCAATAGAAAAACTTTAAGATTTTCCTTAAGAAATGAGGCTTAAAGACTTGAACTCAAGCCGTTGTTGTTGCTGCATTTTTCGCTGGGCTGTAAAATTTCCAAAATTAGACCAGGGCCCAAGACTACGCGAGATGTAAAAAGCAGATAATCCAGGTCGGCTGAACTGAACAAGGAAAGTGGGCTGGGCCAGCCCAAAGAACTAAATTTGGAACCAATATTCGTAATTAAAATTAAAAAAAATTAAGATTTGATGTCCAGCCTCCACGTGTGTTCCACCCGTCAGCTTATGTTAGACGGTGGGCCCCGCACAGCAGACTTGTGTCGCTTCACTTCCCGCCATTATTATAATATAGATTCGGTCGCCATCCCCCGTGCATGTCACGTGACTCTCATTGTCCAGTCTTCACTGATCACCACCTTTGAACTTTGCAGAGATCGTGGGAAAATACGAGAATAAAACTGAAAATTATATTCGCTGGCGGCGCCTTCTCCTCTCTCCCTCTGATCTGATCCAATGCGGGCGGCTACCGTACTCTCGCATCCACTTCCTCTCCCGGCGATCGCCGCCTCGAAGCACCTTCGCAACCAAACACGTTCCAGCATTCAATTCTCATTTCCGCCGCTGCGGCCGGCGTTCAGAGTTTCTCCATTGAAGTACCGAGAGAGTCAGAAGCGAGGTTTGCGAGTGACTAATGGCCTCGAGCCGAAAATTGCAGAAAGCAGCGAGGAGGATCCGACGGAGAGAAAGAGTGGTGGGAGTTCGAATTCGGATCCAGGATGGATTCGTGCTTTCCCTCATGTGCTTACAGCTTCCATGTCCAATTTCCTGTTTGGCTATCACATTGGGTAAAATGAGATCGCCTTTTTTTCTCCCCCCCCCCCCCCCCCCCCCCTTTTCCTCTGCTCGTGAATTGGCATGGAGAAAGCGTTATTGTGGCAGCTGTTGGAGTTTATAGGCGTTGTCTTTAGGTGTGAGATAGGTGTGCTGCTGAGAGGATTTTTCATTTTTCGGATTTTGCAAATTGTGATTATTAGGGCACAAGTATGTTGAATTCATAGCTGTTGTAGCTGCTGAGGAGGCATTCCTGATGGCAGATTTGTTTGATTTAGTGCTTCAGTTTACTAGTTATCCACTTCAGTAGTTTGGATTTTGGTTTTGGGTTATGGGGCAAGACTTTGAACCTGTGATTGAATGTGTTGCAGGGTGATGAATGGACCTATAGTTTCTGTTGCGAGGGAGCTGGGTTTTGAAGGGAGTCCGATACTTGAGGGACTTGTGGTGAGCATATTCATCGCTGGTGCATTTTTCGGAAGCATTGGCTGCGGCTCGCTGGCTGATAAACTTGGATGCAGGCGGACATTTCAGATTGCTACTGTTCCATTGATTCTTGGTGCAATCATAAGGTAATTGGCTTTGCAATTAGTTTGAATAGCACAGGCTTCCCATTGTGGAAATTAAGTAGTCATCATGTTCATTGTTTCCTTTGTAGTTTACGGGTACGTGTTTGATACTTTCACTTTCTGCTATGTGGACAGTGCACAAGCGCACTCGTTGGAAGAAATACTTGGTGGACGATTTCTGGTTGGCCTTGGGATTGGTGTGAACACAGTTCTGGTTCCGATCTATATATCAGAGGTACTACTCCCCTTCTGGTGAAAGCTTTTTCCCCTTTTCGAGATCTATTCTTTTGCTTATGCTGGGAATAAATGTTAGATAGCTAAGAGAGCTGCGCAATGGGATAAGGAGAAAGTAATTGTGTTAATGACATGAAGCAACTTCCAAGTTCTTCCATCTTATATCTTCAAAATTTATAGGTTGCTCCTACAAAATACAGAGGCTCCCTGGGAACTTTCTCTCAGATTGGGACTTGCCTCGGTATCATTGCATCTTTGTTACTTGGAATTCCTTCAGAAACTGATCCCCACTGGTGATTTATCTATTCCACTGATGATATTTGATGTTCTTCTCCCTATGTTATATCTTAAACTGCTTACATTCATCTTCAGGTGGAGGACGATGCTATATCTTGCTAGTCTTCCTGGAGTGGTCCTTACACTAGGCATGCAGTTTGCAGTAGATAGCCCCCGCTGGCTGTATAAAGTAGTTCTTTTTTTTATCCTTTTTCCTCTTCATCTTCGTTATGCTCTTTATTCCATAATTTGTTCGTATTAGATTCTTGCATGTCATTATTCTGAAGTTTTTATATTGGCTGAAATAGGTGGGAAGAATAGAAGATGCAAAATCAGTTATCTATAATCTTTGGGGCCCAAGTGAAGTTGAAAAGGCAATAGAAGAAATTCAGGCAGTAGTTAAGAGTGATGGCAATGATAGAGGTGGTACATGGTTGGAACTGCTGGAGCAACCACACTCTCGAGGTTGTATAAAGGTTGTTCTTAGATATCTTTGTTTCAAGTATGACTAACCCAAGTACAGGATAATTGAATGTTCACGACTGATATAAACTCTTTGAGCAACTCAAACTTAATAGAAGACTCATGCCATGAATGATATATCTCTCTTTTCTGCAGTTGCATTTGTTGGAGGTTCGCTTTTCTTATTGCAACAGTTTGCCGGCATAAATGGAGTTCTTTACTTTTCATCCTTAACATTCAAGGATGTGGGTATAACAAGCAGCGTGTTGCCAAGCATATTCATTGGAATCATCAATTTTGCAGGTTTGAAACGCTTCTGATCTGATATCCGATAATTTAAACCTTTGGTTTCCTTTCTCGCTTTTCTCAACTATCCTGTTTCTTCGTCAAGGTGCACTATCTGCTCTATACTTGATTGACAAGGAAGGAAGAAAGAAGCTATTAATTGGTAGTTACTTGGGGATGGTAAGTTATTTGTACAGAGTCCCAACACCTGAGTTATCAATGTTTGGCATATCACTCTACATCACAGACCTTCATTTCCATGCAGGCACTTTCAATGTTTCTCGTAGTAGTTGCTATAAGCTTGCCACTCAAAGAACAACTTAGCCACATCACATCTATACTGGGAACTCTGCTGTGAGAAATAGTTTCCTTTGTTTGTCCTTTTTATGTGATTTATCTTGCATCTTCTTCATGCTGCACCCCGTCTCTTTTCTTTTGACTTCATTCAGGTACATATACACCTTTGCCATCGGGGCTGGTCCAGTTACTGGCATGATCATACCAGAACTCAGCAGCTCCAGGACTCGCGGCAAGATCATGGGATTTAGTCTTTCCGTTCACTGGGTAATAATGTTGCTTTAAGAAGTTGGATTAAAAGGCAGAAGACGAGTTTAGTTTCAGCTCTTTTTTAATCTTCATTTTCTTAAGTAACTTTTTTTAGGTTGAAACAAACACATCGCATTATTGCTCTGTTCCTAGAAAGAACAAGAGACAGAGTAACAACTAACAAGTAGTCAATTCGGCCTTTCGTGTTTCAGGTCTGCAACTTCTTGGTCGGTCTATTCTTTCTCGACATGGTAGAGATCTACGGAGTTGCCCCTGTTTATGCTGCATTTGGCAGCATGTCGTTGTTATCGGCGATATTTGCTCACTACTTCACCGTTGAAACTAAAGGCCGGTCACTGGAGGAGATTGAGATGTCATTGAAATGAGCCTGTTTAGATTCTGGTAGAACCAATTTGTATCATAACTTCTTATGTTTGATGTTGAAAGACTGAATGCTTTTCAATTTTAATCTAGGACTCAGTTGCTTGCTTCATTTGGAAACTGAAGCGATGTATTGTATATAATCACACTTTATCTTGGAGTCTTGAAGGTAGGGGTGTTCAAACTTCAAACGGATTGGTTATCGTGGTAACCATATTAACCGGTAGTATTCGGTTAATTTGGTTTAGTTAATTTGGATAATTGGTTTGGTTTGGTTGAACAATTTAGTTTATTTGGTTTAGATTGTTTGGTTTGGTTTCAATACTGCTAATCAATGAAACCAATTAACTAATTATTGATACACTTAATATACAAAATTATTTATACTTTTATGCAACCAACCAAACCAAACTTTCGTGATTCCCTATTTTATTTTCACGTGCATTACAAACCAAAACATTATGGGTAAAAAATTAAATGGCCTGCATATTTACTAAACCAAAATATTTTGGACAACTACTAGACTTTAGGATTACGTACAATACTATGTATAGTTTAAGTATTTTGTAGGAGAGCTTTAACTTCCAGATGATGGTATATGTATGTATTTATGTTAAGGTTTTGTTGTAAGCTAATTATATTATGTGCAGAGATGATGAATGATGTATTAACTCGAATGGTGATGATAATCATGGATGATTAGTCTTATTATTATTGTTTATATATAATGATAGTTTATGATAGTAACAACATATTGTTATGTTTTATTCATTTACAGTATAATTGTTTTCATGTAATGTTATGTTATTTGGTTAATCCGATTATCCGATTAACCAAACCAATTAAACTTTGGTTTGGTTAATTTGGTTTTCGTGTTTATTTGGACGGTTTGGTTAAAACATTTTATTCCATGGTTAATGAAATTTAGACTTAATTGATTTGATTATTACCACGGTAACAATTTGAACACTCCTACTTGAAGGTATAGAGAATTTGAAAGGGGCTAACTAAAAATTTGATAGGACTACCTGAGTCGAATCAGGAAAATACAGGTATCAAATCAGTTAATTAGCCTCTTAAATAGTTCCAATGACTTGTTTATTGATCCACCAACCAGGAACCTCTATTAACGTCAAAAAAAAAAAAACCAGGAACCTCTATTTTTACTCCTCTGGCCGCCGACGACTCCCCAGACGGTAATAAGCCAGTTGGACAACGCCACGTGTAAACCCAACTGACGACGATCGTTCACACGTCACATTCATCTCGTTCCTCAATTCAGCCTGCCACAAAATCAAACGCCAAACCATTCCTCTGCCTTCTAATTCTCCTCCTCCTCCATCCTCCGCCGCCGGTTTCGCCATTGATGTAGCCTCGATCGAGTCGCCTCTTACAGCACTCTAGTTCGTCTCTCTCTGCAGTCCGGAAATTTGTCGTAAACATCTCCCTTACTTCCTTGCCAGCGGGGGACATGGCGGCCTCATCGGAGATCAGCGACGGGGACAACGCGGTGGAGCTAATCGTCTGCGATGTCCCGGCATTCTCTTCTGCCGGCTCTAATGGTGACGCAGCTAGCGATGCTGCCGACTCCTTGTCGGATGAAATTGCTCCTCTGTTGAAGCAGCCGGCGGAGAAACCCAAGATCAATATCTTCTCCGTCTCTTACTCCCGCCGAAAAGCTAGGGTAACTAAATCCAGTCATCCTGGCAAATCATGAATTTGTAGTGTCCGCGACTTAGTGAATTGGTGATGATGTTCTTCGTTTCGGAATCTGGTGGAGAATAGGTTTAGGTTTCTATACTTTTGTTCTCTTGATTTGGTGTCGCTGGTGAGTAGTGCCGCACTCATATTTCTGTTCCATTTGAAGAATACTGAAATCTGAAGATCTTTGAAGAAAGGTGGGAGGGAAATGAAACAGTGAAAGCCAGAAGTATGTCGGTTGCAAATGGGGGAATGAGTTTATTACTAATTTGCAATTTCTGAAGGGTTCCTTATACTTGGTAAAATGGAAGAACAGGGAACCAATTTTGGAGTAGTTTGTGTGTGATAATGGTTTTCCTTTCTGGTCATTTTGCAGGATCATGTTATCAAAGTACCTGAATCCGAGGCTCAAGTATCACAACTGATTTTGTGGCTGTGGGGTGGATCCAGATACTCGGGTATGCTGTGCGTGGCTTTATCGTCGTCCATCTACTTTTCTATGGAGGTTGTTTCTGATGTCTTTGCTGGTAAGTAAAAGGATTGTTTTCCTGTTATGGCTGAGTTTCTTTTTTTGTCTTGTGTTGCTGGCAGTCCAGACAACTTCCAGCAACAAAACTTGAAAACTTTTGAACCATTGGATAAGTAGTGCATCATTTAGTGTGTGTTGCTATGGTATCTCTCTTTTAGTGGAAACTATGCAATACTGCAAACTGCAAAGTCATCATCAGATAAACAAAAAAAATATGGTATGAATTCCAGAAACTCGTGCATGGTTACCTAAAATATCGGTGGTTGTAGGAACGTGTACTTCTATTTCATCTGCACCAGCATTATGAGAGCCTGAGGCTTTCCCCTAGGTGTTTCTAGTTGCGTTATGCTACTGCAATTTCGCTTAACGTCTGGTTCGCTAATTTAATGGCAGCTCAGTCGATTCCTTTATTCGAGACTGCATTTGCAAGGTGTACAATACTCTTGGTCTTGTCATATTTGTGGTTGAGGAGAACTGGACAACCTATATTTGGACCACCACTTGCCAGGAAACTCTTGATTTTAAGAGCCCTGATGGGGTATTTGTCACTATTGAGCTTTATCTACTGGTGAGTTTCACCTTCCTGCGGTTACTGCTTAGTTCATATAAACATTATAGTGGTTGTCCTTTCTCGTGGTTGTTTATGACTGAACATTAGCAACTTTTCTCTTCTCAGTGTTCAACGATTGCCTCTACCACAAGCTATCGTGTTAAGTTTCTCAACTCCCATAATGGCTTCCATTGCAGCAAGAATTGCATTTCTTGAGAAGTTGAAAATTGCTGACATTGCAGGTCTGCCAGCATTTCTCCCTAACTTCTTGCTTTGTTTGGAGTGTGAAAATGTTCAGTGATTTCCTTACCGACGTTCTTTTCCCAGGTCTTGCTTGCAACTTCTTTGGAGTGCTCTTTATTTTCAGACAGAGCTTCACTGCACAAGGTAGAGATGTGAGTTAACAAACCTCCTGTAGCGTGCTGATAATACCTTCCCACAAAACATCCTAGGAACATAAGAACCTATAGTATGGTTTCTTTTTTAAGTGCTTACGAGTTACGACAAGGGAAGCTGACTCTCATACATACCATACCATTGTTTTTCCTAGGTCTAGCAGGTGAGCTAGTTAAAGCCGGTTCAGCTAGCACTGCCAACTTGAAGGGAATGCATTATGTATATGCAATATTAGCTGGTCTATTTTCATCTGTTACTGGTGGAATCAGCTACTGCCTCATAAAAGCAGGATCGAAGGCCTGTGATCAGCCAGTGTAAGGCTTCACTTTTCAGCTGTATCTAAATTAGCTTCAATCAGTTGCCCTTTCATGTTCACATAGTTTGAAGCTTAGAGAGATTTGAACTCTATGCTTCCTGCTTTTTCCAGGATCACCGTGTTTTCATTTGGAATTCTGGCCTCCCCTGCTGCCCTAGTCTGTATGTTCATTTTCGAGGTAAGATCTAATATGCTGGCATTTGTCTCCCAAATATCTGTGGAGCCTGTGTTGTACCTAAATCACTCGACTCTCTTGCATCAGGAATTTGTGTTGCCAGAGCTGCGTTCCCTCTTCCTTATGCTTCTTCTTGGCGGTCTCGCCTTCTTAGCTGAGGTACTTATTTCCCCTTGAAAGACTTATGTAAAACACGGACTCTCTTTTCGTTTTTCCATTACGAGTTCCTGAAGACCTTGAACCTGCGCTCTTGGGGGCTTACGCTTCCTCTGTTATAACTTTTAGGTGTTCTTGGCCCGCGGCCTACAGCTCGAGCAAACAAGCAAAGCTGCAAACTTTCAATACGTTGAGGTACTCCTTTCACCATCTCTCTCTCATACGGTCTCCTTTACAAACCTTACTAGAATCCTCTTGCCGCTGTGCCCTTTCTCTCGTGTTGCTTCTTAGGCTGCATTCACAGAGCTATGGGGGATTGCTTCGTCGACGATAGTTCCCTCTTTCGGTGGACTCATTGGGTGTTTACTCATCTTAGCTTCAGTTGGATGTACCATATACATTGGCCCCGATAAAGACATAGAATGAATGATGACAGATGATGAAAATTGCAGAGAAACTTCAACAGTTAGTTTTTTGTTCGTCCTGAAACTCCTTCTGCACCCAATTTGTGGCGGTCATTAGCTTCGATTTACAAGTTTTAAGGTTTTATTTCATTCTCATTTTTTCTCTATCTTGATGGTTAAGAGGTCTGGGAATACAAGTATACTGCCTAGGTCTGTAAGTCCAGGTAAAAAAATATATGTGGGGAAAATGAATGAATAGTCGGCCATTCCTTGTTTTCTTTCCGCCCAATCCAAAGCTCGTCTGAGAAGGCTTCCGCTCTGTTTGGATAGAGCCATAGAGGCGTAAATGTAGGGGGCGTAATTTCTAAGGGGTAAATGCCCTTTCCGATAAGTTAGCGCCTGTTTAGCAAACTTTTATCCAGTAGAGGGCGGATGATTGGAGGCGTAATTCTACTATTCTAGTGTCCCCCAAATTGGGGCGGAAGTGGAGAGAGAAAAGACGAAATGATTTTTTTTTTTTTTTTCCTGAATATTTTAGTATCTTTTTCCTTCGTCAAATCTGCCTTCGATGAATTCGTCTCCGCTGGTGTGAGAAAGAAGCCCACACGGCTGCCGGTAACACCTAAAAAATAGAATCCATAAGCTAGAATCAAGAAAGGCAATCAATAGATACCCAAAAATCAAAGAATTAACACAAACAACATGCATGCCCAAAACTTACCAGATCTAGAATTCAGATCCCCTCTCTCCTCTCGTCGGAGGCTTTCGATCTCTCGGCCTCCTCATCGTCGCTTTCCGATCTCCCCCTAAGAAAGATCGACGGTGGCGGCCGGAGAGCTTGAGGGATTGGATTCGCAAGATAGAGAGAGGGTCGGAGAAATTGGAGAATAAAGACTAAAAAGACCTGCCACAGTCACAGAAGAAACAAGCTTAGCTAGTCCTGCTGAACTTGATGTGGGAAGCTAATTCACATCACATCCTCTATAATGATTCTTGGCAGGTCCGGTGGTGGTTCTTCTAGCTCATACGTACCAAAAAGGATAGACGAGACTG